ATTACTCCGATTTAACTCCTACTTTAAGAGAAAAGTGGAATGTCCAGAATACAAGGCTCCAGGATAGTTGTAGTTAGTTGCTCCAAGCATAGTTTCCTTATGTAAAGCTATGTTTTTTCTGTGCAGAACGAGGTAAGAAATAGAGTTCCACACAACAGCTTCCTACATATTATCTTGAAAGACTGTAATTTTACCTTCCTTCTATTCTACTCTCTCTGGTAATGAACAAATCTTCTCCACTTCATGAAATCAGATGATGTGTAAATAGCCAGGGTTCTTCTGCATTTGGGTTCAACTTCTATTTGTTTATCACTAATAATGGTTCAGTAGGTGGTGATGCATATATACATGTGAGTGCATAGATAAATAGATAAGATATATAGCAGGTGCCTTGTAATACAAGACACCTGAACAACTACAGCAAAGCTAGCTCTTTAAAGGCTGCTGCTGCTCCCCAGAGCCAGATACTACATCAGGCAGGCACTGCCTGGAACATTTCCTCCATCTGCCCAGTCCCATTTGCTTTTCTACAGCTCCCAGCACCTCACAAAATTTGTGGAAAAGGGCTTTCTCATGCTACCCCCGGCTCCCATGCAGGTCATCAGCAAGTTCCCAAAACCCCAAAGTGCATACATTGTGTGATGAATAACTAGAAGAGATTTGCAATGACTGAGTGTTCGGAGTACTTATCTTTGAATCTGGCAAGGGCAGTTTCAGGATGGTTTGTTTCACTTCCCCCATTTCCTTCTCCAAAGAGAGCCTGTTAGCACAGACAAATGAGGCAAGTCAATAACATCCACCCGGACAGGATATATTGAGCCAATTCAAAAGTAGGTGGATAGCAGCTGCGCTCCTGCCTGTGAAATACTATAGTTGTGCAGTGAGTCATCAAGCCCTTTTTATTTACACTTTCATGTAAGTGCTGGCAAGCACCGATTTATGTGCTGAAACTGAGAAATGGGGTATGGGCATGTTAAAGAAAGGAACACATACACATGTATGCACGGACCAGCAGCCTATTTCAGTTCTTCCAGGATAATTTTAAGCCACACAGACCTGAAACAGATTGACCTGTTATTACTTTTGAATTGAGGACAGATTTCCCTTTTAAAGGCTCAATTATATTGCTGGGCTTGTTTGCTTTTTATGATTTCAGAAGATGCCATGGTAACTTGGGCAATGAATCCCAGCTTAGGATGTTTCATGTGCTGAATTTCAAGCTCTGAATTGTAGTTTGCAATTTTAATCAATCTGGTGCCTGGAAAATTACTCTATTATATTTACCCTTGAAGAGCATTTATGGCAGACAAGTTATAAGGACTGATATTTGACAACATGGCTCAGATTTGTGCCTGGGTTTGTACATTGGACAACATGGATTTTTTCTGGGAAGTATGTGATTCCTGGCCTTTTTGGAGAGCTTGATAGATTAATAATGTCTGAAGTTCAGCTATAAAAGGCTGTTTTTCTGTCAAATTTATTCTATCAAGAATTCTTGAGTGGAATATTATCTCTGATTTTTCTAGGAGAAATTTAATTGTTTGGATAACTAGATGGAGACTTCTATTAATTTTCTTTCTACCTGCAGAATTGCTTGTTTTAGTTACCTAGTGCTTTAATAATCTATTGACCTGATCAGGGAAGAGGCATCTTGGTGCTAAAGATCATTCCCAGTGCCGCTATTGAAAGGTTCTGAGGCAGATGCTTTATGTAAGGCAGTGCCAGGGTGCAACAATCTTTTGCATGATGGAATGGGTGTTTACCACTTTCTCTGTATTCTAGAAATGTAGAAAAGTATGAGTAAACATTATGTATCCAAGTCTGCATTTGAAACCATGACTCTCCAGGTTATAATCTTTTCCTAACTAAGGAGCTTTCAGAGCACTGATTAACATATGGACCCTTTGACTGCTGGATGGGAGAAATCAGATTTATTTCAAAATATTACTTAGTAGGCCCCCATGAAGAGAGGGAAGACAGTAGGAAGAAAAGAATGGGAAAAAGGAGGAAGGTAGAAAGGGAGAGAGGAAGGAAGGGAGAGTTGTAGGAATAAAATAGAGGAGGGAAGAAGGAAGGAAGCAATCAAGCAAAGATGCACATAACCCACTAGTCAATGTGTGTTATATCCCCATTTTCAAAAGTTTCTCTACCATCACCATACAGAAGATGGTTTATTTTATCAATTTTTATTAGGATATGAATCTGTTTATTGAGTCAGAGAAATCTCTGCTGATTTCCTATGTGACAGCAAGCACACAATGAGATTTAAGAAACTGTAGTGGCAGATGCTCTAAAATACATCATCTGTATGGATTCTGCAAGGCTGCCTCTTCTTCTCTTGTTTTAGAACTGTTAAAAAAAAGTCACGCCATTTTTTCTTATTTAGGGTGAAAAGGTTAACAGTTACCAGACCAGTCATTCTGTGTCACTCAGTACGAGCAAATCTGGCATGTGAATCTGTATCCTTAATTTTATTTTTAGGTACCTAATTTGTTTTCCCATTTGATGATATCTTCAGCTGAAATTGTAGGCTGCTGATCTCTTGGTTTTTTCTCCTGCAGCGAATGTAATTGGACACTCTTAACCATAGCACAACTGTTCTAAATGACACAGAAAGTAAACGAAAGCTGCTAGATTAAAGAGGAGTCTCTCAATAGATTTGTGATTAACTTGCAACTATAATAAGAAATTACATGAAAATAGAAATGAGTAGGAAAGGTTAACCAGCTAAGACAGGAAATTATTTCAACAGCGGGGGGGGGGGGGGGGGGGGGCAAAAAGAAGAAAGGAAATACAGTCTCTTTACAGATATACTTCTGACATCAGCTGTTTCTCAAGAGCAATAGATTTAGAGCTAAGAAGAGACTTGTAGGGCTAAAAGATACAGTTCAGATTAGAGATCAGGATTTGAATCCTGGTTCTCGTCACTGGCTTTCTGCTTAGCTCTTAGCAAGCCCAATACCTTATTTTCTCTTCTTCTCTGTTTAGCCTATAAACTCATTAAGAGTTTATGTAACGCTTAATGCCAGCTCCCCCAGTGCAGAAGCTATACATATAATGTATAATAATGTATAATAAACAGATAATGTTTTCCATTCTCACACATCTCAGCCTTTACTCACTTCGACAATGATTGCTCAGTATGGCAAAATGTATCAAAGGTGAAGTCTATGTCCAGTTGTCATGAACACAAGTTTATATATGGCTCTTTCAATTAAGAGTAGAATATCTGCCCACAGACAGTTAAGAATAATTCAGTGTTTCAGTAGGGAGCTCCCATGTGAAAAAGGAGGAGAGATGAGAAGTGAAACAAATAATTCTTTTAGTAGGAGAATTAATGAACCAAAACTCTTTCTTGGGTAGATCCTCTGTTATTCTAATAAAAGGTCAGATTATCTGTCTTCCCACTGATAAAGGCAGTAAGAGGAACCTCCTTCAATTTTCACAAAATTTGCAGAAATAAACTAATTTCTTCACCTCTATTTATTTGTTAAATTGGCTGTAAGTAGTCTATAGATTCAAAAGTTATCAGGAAACAACATCCTTTGAAACAATACACTCAGCCAGGGTGATTGCATGAGGCTTGTTTTCTTGGGAAATCAGGTTAAAAACAACCCACACTCATTATTTCCATTAATTTAGCTTGCACAGGTTATAGCATGTGTTCCAAAATGAACCAGTCAGCACAACACATGGCCAGCTCCTGCTCTATGTAGGCAACATTACCAAAATGAAGAACAATTTATTTTAAGAGTATGGACATCCCTCTTTTATAACAAAGTGACCCATATAGGTCAAGTTATACCTACTGTAGCTCTACTAAAGGGAGAGGAATTGTTTCAGAGATGAGTGTGCCCTATAAGCCCTCTCTTGTGTTTGTCTCAGTTTGGGTCAGCTATCTTCTTTGCCCCAAGTGGTTCTGATTTCTTAAATCATCGTCAGGATGCTCTCTTTTAAAAGCTTATTATTTTTTTTCTCTCAGACCTTTCTGTCATCACAGCCATCTCAAGGCAGCACAGCATTCTCCTTCCCTGGTCTGAGTATAATGCAGTCAGTAACGTGAATCCAAAATAAATGGTCATTGCCCTACAGTAAGTATTAACTTTACACATCCTATTTCAGCCAGTTACATGAAGTCAGACAGCTACTCTTTACCCCTTACAGCCCGCATGAACTTGAAGAGGTCACAAAGGGATAGCAAAGCAGTATCTGGCCTGTACTGCTTTACTGGTTTACGTTAATAAGTACAATAATATTGGGCTGCAGCCTGCAGGCATGTTGCTATTGTACCCAATTCTCCGTGCTTAAAAGTAAATAAATATTTTTTAAAAGGACAAGCTATTTTGTGTGGTCTAAGAAACAGAAAAATGAAGTGAAAGTAGCCAGAACATGGCTATTGTCTGTACAAAATACGTCTGCAATGCCCTTAAGTTTATTCTTCAGTTTTTATACACTTCAGTTATGTTCTGTCAGAGAGATCAATATAAACATCACTTTGCTTAAGAAAAATGGATTTTGATTGTTTTCATTAAAGCAAATTGAAACAGGGTTTATTAGGTTTTTAATATTAGGTCTCTGCATTACAGAGAAGGAGGACCATAATTTAAGGGTCATATAAAGGAGGGGGACAAATGTTTCATAAATCACTATGGATTACAGTAGAGGGTTTTCTTGAACAGACACTGTTCCGTCTACTAATCTCCACCTTCTACTTACCACTTCATATGGCACACTCATGATGTCCTTCCTATAAAAATCAGAAATCTTTCTCTAAAAAAAGCTATTGTAGTACTCAGGTGTACAACTGAAGCGAGTGCCTCTGGGGCTGGGCTCAGACAAGAGGTCCTTTGTGGAACAGGCATGAAGACTGCACTCTTCTCACCATAAAACAGACCCTGTGGCCAAATTGGAGTCAATACAATCCTCACTCTGCCAAGAAAAGAACAGTGTGAGATCTTAAAACCAGCATGAGGGGACCCAGTACTCCAAATGTGTCTCACAATGGCTGAGTAGAGGAGAAGAATATCTCTGAAACTGATGGCAATGTTCTTCCTGATAAAGCCCAGGAGGGTGCTGCCCTTCTTCACAAGAAGGTGGCTTGTGGTCAGCTTGCTGTCCACCAGGACCTCCAGATCCTTCTCTCCAGAGCTGCTTTCCAGCCAGTCAGCCTGCAGCCTGCGCTGGTACATGGGATTGTTCATCCCCACAAGCAGGACTTTGCACTTGCTTTTGTGGAACTTCATGAGGTTGCCCTGGGCTCATTTCTCCAGTCTGTTGATATTACTCTGAATGGCAGCACAGCTGTTGACTGTATCAATAATTTCTCACAGTTTTGTATCATCAGCAAAGTAACTGAGGGTACACTCTGTCCTATCATCCACATCATTAATGACAGTATCAACCCCCAGGATGCACCAGAAGTGACTTGCCCCCCCCTGGACTTCATGTTGCTGATTACAACCCTCTGGGCCCCTCTGTTCAAATATTTTTCAACCCACCTCACTGTACGTATCTCTAATTCGTACTTTGCCAGCTAGTCTATAAGGTTGTTATCAGAGTGTCAAAAGTTTTACTAAAGTTGTAGTAAACAGCATTCACTGCTCTCATTCACATAGATAGTCAAATTTTTGTAGCAGACTGTTGGGTTGGTTAAATGAGAGTTCCCCTTCCTCATTCCATGCTGACTGTTCCTGATCACCTTCTTCTCCTTCATGTGCCTAATAATGGTTCCCAGGATTAGCTCCTCCACCACCTTCCTAGGAATCAAGATGAGGCTGACCAGCCTCTTGTTCCCCAGATCCTCGTCACCCTTCATGAATATAGGAGTGTCATTTGCACTCCTCCAGTCTTCAGGAACTTTCTCTAGTTGCCACAGCCTTTCAAAGATAACACAGAGTGGCCTCCCACCAACACCAGCCAGCTCCCTCAAGACTTGCGAGTGCAGCCAGTAAGGCCCTGTAGACCCTTGTGTGTTTGGAGCAAGGAAGACTTACCCTCTTGGTGGATAAGAGCAGGTTAGGGAACATGTCAACAAACCAGACTTTCCCTCTGGTCTTGGCCCTGGGATCCTGAAGGCCAGTCTTACTAGTAAAGACTGAGTTGAAGGCAGCACTGTGGCAAGTCATCACTGGACTTCAAAGCAGGTGCTTTAAACAGCTTTCACCAACCAGGTGAATGCCTATCCATCTCTGAATGACCATTCATGACCATCTGTAGGATCAGGCAGATCTTGCTCTGTGTATTAAACATTGATTACCTTAAACTATTACTGCAGCCAGAGACGTGCAAGCTATGTCGTAAGAGAACCAAACAAAAGCTTCTGGAGTATTTGAATGTGCCATACAAATGTATCCTGAAGTCCGCATTTGGCTTCAGGCCATTCAACTCACTTGTTAAAGCAGCTTTCAGGCTCCAAAAATGTCCAGCAAACACCTTTTATGGGCATGGTAAATACAGAAGAGAGATAACACAAGTATAGAGGAACTGAAATAAAACCACACTAATTTAAAGAAACAGGCGTGGATACCTGCATTATGTTGGAAATCAACAATGTCCCCAGTAGGAACTAGTGCCCTTCCAAGGAACTGTGAATCTGTAGGACAAATCCCAGATTAATTGAAGATTAGCAAAAATTAGCTAAACATCAGGATTTTAAGACAGTACAAAACGGACAATATGTAAAACCAGGAGTAGACAGAAAACCCTGATTTTACTTTTACAAGCTGCATCACTCCTTACTCAGGTCAGATTAGCACATTCATGCAGGGGAGAATGCAGTCCTTTGAAACATCTCAAAGCTTCCAGAGTTTTTTGCTGTCCCTCAGTCAGGTCTCCTCCTGCTGTTCATAGGCACCCCATGCCTGTAGACCTCTAAAATGTTGTGCCTCAGGGGCACTTGCCTGGCTGTTTCCTAGAGCATCTCTGCCTTGCTAATGAGCAGACTTCCTTCCACACAGGGCACTCTACTCTCATCTGATCCTATTTCCTACCGTCCGTCCATTCAATCATACCCTGCTTTGAACTTTTGCCCTTTTTAACTCTCTATGCAGGCTTACAATCCTTAGACATAAAAACACATAGATATACTTACGTTTATCTAACCACAACCAGAGCAGCCTCAGGGATAGTGATTTAATGGCTCCTGTTCTGAGGATAAAACTGTTTATAAATATGGATGTAACTGGGCATACCAGTGGGAGGCAACTATGCATTATCACCAGGTGTCTCTCTAGGACATCCAATTCATTTAATAAAGCATCCTTCTAAATGCATACACACACACATGCACACGCACACAGCGGCTGTTCAGATGTGCACAAAACATGGATCTTTTCCACTGATATGGAAAAAGAAAAAGCTGTTAGAACGGTGTAAGAGTCATAGATCCTGATCCATTTGGTCTGTGATGCTGTGTTCCTTCCGTAGGAATATAAACAAACACAAAGAGAGCACCATTTTCTCCCAGACACTTATTCCTTGTGAAATGGGAAGCCTGCATCTTTGGATGAGGCTGCCTGGGCAGAGCTGCTTCTTCCATTCAGTTCTGAGAGGTTTGCTGCAGGACCCAGTAGAACCTGGCTGGAAGTTCAGCCAGGCAAACCACACAGTCCAGTATACAAAACCAACAAAAATAAAAAAAGAGCACTGTTTCTCACCTTTTATTGGTTTTAATTTTATTTTTTCTTTGAGACAGCAAGTAATATCTTCTGCTAATTCTGCAGCATTCCTCTAGGCTGTATGTCAGAACTGGGAATGTTTCTTTTCTCTTAATCCATGAGACAGCAGACAAAGTTCACACTGGCTGCTTCAGAGGGGGTCTGGTGGAGTTGAAGGCATAACACACACCTTTGCCTGCAGCTCTTACTGAAGTGGGCTACTTTGGTGGTGTAGTAAAGGGCTTTGCATCCTAGTGCACAGTTGTGAATGCCACTGTCAGAGTAAACAAACAACACTATAAAAACTGTATTTTCAAAGATAACCAATGGATAAGAAACTAGCAAGTAACCTTTCAAATGATCTAAATAACTGATCGAGTACAGAGAGGAATAACCTTTTAAAATAATTAGATTTTGTAAGCAGATGTACAAATAATTAACTTCAAATTATGCAGCCGAAGAATAATGCAGATTATAAATTTCAAAGTCAGAACAACCGTAGTTGCAAAGGCGAGTAAATGCTGCTTAGAGAAGGCAGACATCTATTGATTTTCAGGTAAGCCAGTCAGATCCAGACCAGCATGTTCTACTTCTTGTAATGATAGGACACCAAAACCAGCAGGACCAGTACTTTACCTTTCTCTGTCTGGTCTGGAAATGCTCCTTGTCTGAGATTCTGAATCACTGGCTTCATTGCTATTTATATGGTAGCAGTTCCCAAAAGGATGCAAGGTAGTTTACAGGCACTGGAAGTCAAGTCCCAATCATCTCAGCTTTTTATTTGCATTTAATAAGGGCAATATTTAAAATGCTCCTAAAGAGGAAAATTAATGATAAGTCATATTATTTTCTTTTGCAAAGGGCAATAGGCACATACAGGCACAAGTAAAAGGAGGCAAACCTGAAAGGCTTCCTCAGATTAAAAGATGGTGCTAATACTTGTATATGAGGCAAAGGGGTTAGGAGTAGCCATATAATTTGTGCAAAACACTGGTACATGGACAAACCACTGCTGAAGAAACCTTTTTTGATAAGGGGATCTATAAGGAAGAGATTGAAAGATGAATGAGGAGAAAAGGGACATGAGAAAGGGCAGAGTAGAGAAGCCTAGGTGAGTAAAAAAACCAGCAGTAACATGGGGATGGCTGAAAACCAGCAGCTGGGAAAAACACATACTTGAAAGTGGCCTTTATCAATACAGAAGCAAACTGCCAAGTATTTTTCTCAGTTTTGCTGATGGGTTGACACCATGGACGTGTTCTCATTCCTGGCTCAGCTGAGACGACCTCTCTCCTGTGATAACAGGTTGCTCATTCCACTCTCTCATCTGGCTTGCAGAGTGAGAAGGTTGGAGACTCCAGGTGAGGTTTCAGATTCTTCCACAATACTAGAAAGCAATTTAAGACTTTAAAAAAATTTAAAGAAAGGCAGTTCTTCCCTCCTATCAGTTGCCCTGGTATCTAAATTACCTTCTAGGCTCTGTGCCCAAAATTCTTATGTGGTGTTATAGAAATGCAGATTAATCTCTCTTCAGCTGAGAGTTAAAATTGGTGTTAGTATAAAGAGAACAACCCCTTCAGGATTTACTGTGCTCCTAGGACTTGGTCAGCTGTCTCCATTTGTTCCATTATGACTAGTTTCCATATCAATGCAATATGCTGATGGATATGTCTCTAAGATAAAAATCTGCTGTTCTATCAGTATAAAGCTAGCAGAAGGCAGATACAAAGATTTTCTTTTCATATGTACCTTGGTATCTAAAATGTTTCTACATTTAAAACATTTCTTGTAGCTTGCCAGTATCTATTTTGAGCTGTATTTACATGGAGGGTTTAACCTGCCTCACATTTCAGTAAAGGTCTTAAAAAAACCGTGGCTACACATAAGGTTTTTAGATGACTTAAAGCTTGAGTGCAGTGCCTGAAACCTGGCACTGCTCAACAGATGGGACAGGACTCAGATGCAAAGTCCTGGCTTTCCCAAGAGTCCCATAGTAGATGGACTCAGACCTGACTCGAACAGTGTTTCTCCTGACCATACTCTTGATATGTGAAGTTGAGCTCTGAAAACCAAACTCTAATTCACAAACTGCTCCAGCTGTCCTTCTGACCACCCTGCCCAATTCTGTAAGTGATAAAGACTTCCAGTTTTCTAGGGCTGGTTCCGTTTGTCTCCAGCCTTTCTCCCCAAAAGTAGCCAAAGGCAGTTCTCATAAACTTTTGATATGCTCTGCACATAAGGACAGCGCAGTCAACAAAAGGAATATCTGCCAAGTGTCACATTTTATAGCACTCTATAATAATGTGGCAATTCTTTTTTTTTTTTTTTTAATAATGGACCATTTAGGAGGGTTTTTTTTTAAATTCATTGTTTTTAAAAATCTGTTAGGAAGGCTTGCCTGCATTTTCTGCAGAGATTAACAGGAGAAAGGTGGATGTTTATTACCTGCCACCTGGAGAGGCTAAATGCACAAAAAGAAATAAAGTTTAGATGTCAACTTGTAAGGCTTGATTCTCTGCCAAAGCAGAGCTTGAGCTCAATTATTC